TAGGTTACGTAAGTATAACTCTTTTTGGCTATTTTCTGTAAAGGGTTTCCCAAAATAATATTTATGTCTCCATTACGCCCAATCTCCTCACACTCCACTAACAGATGTATTAGGTCTTCTATTGCTTTGCAATAATCGCAGAGGGGTGAGGCTTTGATACCTATTAAGCGATAAAATTTATTTAGTGAAACAAGAGATTCCCTGGAGAGACCCGCACCGTCAAACCACGGCTTTCGAGAAGGTTCGCAGTTGTATCGTTCTAAACCAAAAGCCTCTTGCTAGTGAAATTTCCTCGTAGTCTTTATCCCAAATATTTAGACTAACATCTCTAGCTAGAGGAATAAATTCAGTAGCATCATCACACCATCAGATATAGCTTCGTTAGCAAGTTTATCCGCCTCCTCGTTACCTAATATACCTACGTGTGATGGAATCCATTGCAAAATGATCGCACGATTTTTTATACTGAGTTCATATATCAGTTTCAGTGCTTCATATGCTATTTGTTATACCTTTACTAAATTTAAATTTAAATTACATTTGACCAAGTGTTGTAGCGCACTTCTAGACTCTGTGGCAATTAGAATCTTATCTCTCTATATGGACTTAGCTTAAGATAATGCTTCCGTGATAGCTGACAATTCCGCCCTCATGATACTAGCTTTATTAAAGTTTAAATTTCATTGATACATTCTCCTGTGGGTCAAAGAAGTCAGCGCCAACGCCTTTGTCTGCCTTAGAACTATCTGTGAATATTGTGTAGAAATCATGATATTTGTTACCCAGCTCATTCAGAACAATTTGTCTTATGTTACATGCGCGAGTTTTATGTTGGGTTACAGTAAGTTTATCAATGCAAGGTTTGATACAAGAGTTCGTATCAATGAAAGATATCCATATGCCTAAAGAATACATAGTTTAAATGTTACTTTGATATACAGCATGTTCTTTAAATTTTGTACATGATTCTACCAGTAATGGTTTCTTTTTATTATGCCAATAACTATTCTGACGTAAGTCGGAAAGCTTCAGTAGGTACAGATCCCTCAAAAGAAGAATCCGAACGGGAATGAATTGTTAACCAATAACGGAAAGCGAGCCATAACCTCCTCACCGAGGTGGAAGGCACATTTCGTACTCCATCACATGGATCGGAGTACAACACGACTTATGATAATAAATATTAAAACAAAAAACGACTTATTCCTTTAGCTACGGCTGTTCTATGGCTGTAACAATACTTATGACACTCATCTTTATCACAAACAAAGAAATAGTGCTACTTGTTCAAGCAAATAAAAAATGAGTATGGAAACAACTATGCGTAAAAATAACGAAATTGTATAAAAATATGAAAATGAAATGAAATGAATATTATATGTTCTGTACAGTTGTCGTTGAAATAATTATAATCGTTTAAATATGAGTCTTCATCGGCTTTTACCATTCTGGCAGTTGGTAGATAAAAATCATGACGTTCACTATCAATTAATGGTAGAAGAGCCAGAAGATCCTTCTTTTTTTTCTTCTTTCGTTTTCTTTTTTGAAATTCTTCTTTTTCTTTCTTGAAATAATTTCAAAGGATATAATCACTCACTGTATATAAACAACAAACGATATATCAAGAATTATAATACAAAAGTAACGGGACTTACTCGCGTTTTTGTCGCAAGCGGTTCGACTAGTTTCGACCGTAATCGATGGTCTTTTTCAGGGTTGAGTGCAACGTTCGCGACCGCGTCACTGAAGCACCGCGCGCTGCGGCTCTCTGCGCACACGCCGATAACGCAGTCCACAGTGGGGAATTCGGGGGGCTGATACGTTGCGTCAGAGCATCCTGGAACTCTTCTTCGCTACTACTGTCCGCAGGATTGTTGTCGGGAACAGTCCAGAGCTCATCACGTCGTCACGCCTCTCGGATTATGCGGGGCACAAAATACTTCTCCCGCGCTAAAACCTTAGCTTTACGAAAACGAATGTAGTGGACCAGTACCGGAGCTCAGAAAGTGGTCTGTCATCGTAGATCCATTGACATCTTGGTTTTTCATGAATCGGATATGCTCAGCTAGCCTAGCAGCCACGTTCTGTCTCGTTTCGCCGACGTAACACTTGCCGCAATCACAGGGAACCTATAGATACCGGGGACCCCCAGAGGGTCTCTGTCCTTTGGTCGGCGAAGCAATTGTCGCAGCTGTGTGAGATTTATGTTACTTTTATATTATAAAATGTGATAACCGCGTTAGTTTTCATAATAAAATATATTAAGAAAAGGCATAATTTCAATGTATAAATTTCAGTATAACAAACATTAGATATTATGATTAAGTGACATAAAGAACAAATGGTATAAGAAGTACCAGTGTAATGTATTAAATAATATAACATCATATGTTGAGTGTGTGCGTTATTTATTTATTTATTTATTTATTTATTTATTTATATTTCGTTTTAAGAATAGTTGACGCATCCTATATTATGTTGATAAGAATTTTTTTCAGTTAATGCACAATCGCAAAATATAATTGTTTTTGTTAGCTTTAAGTGCTTTTTGTGTTAAAAAATATATTTATTAAAACTTTAAATAGAATATTTAATTGCATATACTTTTTTTTTATCTGGGGGAATCTGCTTACAGATACTCCGGCCCCGCGGGGGCAGAGCCGGGGTTATGTGGGACTGGGCTGAACCCTGAAGGGGAGCAGCCCGACCGCACTAAACCCCCGGAGTGTTCCTCCTCTCCGCTGTAGGTGGGGGTACGGGTACGCTGTTGCACTCGTCCGCGCCCCAACCAGCGGCTGGCCGCGCCCTGCGCAGCCCCTTTCCGAGAAGGGAGACACATCGGTCCCCCAACTCACTCCGAATGTGAGGCTCGCCGAACACCAGACGAGCCTTCCATCCCGGGCCCCTTTATGCTGGGCAACGAACTCCCCCGAGTCCGCTACCCAGGGGCCATGGGGGGCCAGGACATCATCCACTCAACTGTGAAGTTCAGTGGCTCCTCCCCCAGCCCTCGCGGCGGATCTGATGACAGGCTCCGCCGCAACACCTAACGCGCTTCCGCGCGGACTCTCCGAAGAGAGTCCCTTGGAGTGCTCACCACGGGCCAACCGCCCACATTCGGACGCGGAGGATAGGACGAGCGGCAACGACACACCAACACGTCTCTTCCCCCGCGGCCCCGCCGCCACTGCATCGTCGAAAGCGGTGCAGCCCCGCCAGGGTCGCGGAGGACAGGACGAGCGGCAACGACACACCGATACGTCTCTCCCCCCGCGACCCTCCTCCCAACGCGCATCCGCACGGTCCCGCTGACCAGACGAGCCCCGCGCGGAACGCCCTCCTCCTCGGGCCAGCCTACCACCATCGGCCGGCTCCGTGGGTTCCTCTTAGCTTCACCGTGGGATGAAATCGACCACAGCTACTAGAGCCCCCCCGCCACGACAAGGCGGGAACCCCTTCGGGGGGATAATTTCATATACTAACTTAGCCTAAACGGACCTAAAAGGTCGACCTAACTAGGAAATGCAAACAAATTCGCTTTATTTACACCACCGGAATTATCCGGTGGCTCATAGCACCGGATGTATATTAATAATACATTATACTCAGTGAATGTTATATCTGAAGTATTTATATAAAATGAACATTATATCATCGGTATATAAGATTGAAAGTTGTTATATCGATCGTCTATTATACCCAATGACCTCTGTATCGTGCAAAAATATGTCAAAAATGTCTGTATACCATGAATTAATTATATCTGTAGAGCGTTATATCGACAAAAAATATGTCAATTGTTGTTATATATCGCGAACTTTGTTATACAGATATGAAATGAGTGAAACGCTTTCCAAAGGAGGTCTTAATGGGGCCGCGTCTAACGGCTATATAGGTTATGTAAGAATTCTGCCGAAGGAGATTATGCAAAATGTAAATTTGTCGGACAGTGAGAACATCACAAGATTTATATAATACCGATGTGGGGAACAGGAATGGGCAAAAAGTAGCCACTTTTAAGACGGCTCTTTGGGCCCAGTGGCCTTTGGTACTTATAACTATGTTAATTGACAATAATAATAGTGATAACAGAATTCACTTAAGTACCTACCTACATAATTATAATCAGGTCCACCCAGAACTTCAGAACGGAACAATCTTAATTTATTGGCAAATACCTTCAGGATCCCGTTTTGACTACCTACGCGGCTCAACAGAGGCGCAACCCGTTTCCATCTAATGGCGTGGAAGTCATCAGTACGTTCCTCGGCGAACATCCCTACTCATTTATGTTCTATGTGCTTTTGTGTTATACCGACTTTGTGAAGTGATTGTAAATGTTTGTTTGTGCTTGTATTGTAATTACAGCTACAAGTCTTTTGTCTCCATCACAAAACCAGACCGCAATGATACTACAGAAGATGTTAGTAACTTTTGTTTTCTTTTTTGTTCTTGTGTTTATTTATGAACAATTCTTGTAATCTTAATAGATAATGATGATTGAATCTATTTTAGCTTCCTTGAATATTATTGTACGCCAAGTCAACAACGCTTTTTTATCCTGTGAAATTCTGATACAATTTGTAATAAATAGTGATTTGAAATTTGAAATGTGCTTGTGTTAAGTGTATCAAAAGCACATTTCAAAGTGACAAATTACACCTTTAGCGTTTATTCCTTCCTGCTGAGAATGTGTAAAATAAAATACTTTTGTTGTTTGGTTTGTTACTTAAATTTCCGGATGTTATATTCACTAAGTTCTGATCAAAGTAAAACGGCGCAGAGGGAGATACTACAGTTTCCATTTTGTAGGCCTATAATCTTTCTTATTTGTGTTGTAAGCTTTTTGAATATATCTTTACAGTATTTCACACTTAAACCGGCTGCCCCATGTCAGGTTAGGTTTATATGCCAATGATACACAGGAGTGGGTTGCCAACTGCTTTATTCGCAAATCTACTTGTTGAAGGTAGAATCGAAAGAACATTAATAATCTAATAACAAAATACTTGACAGGCGGCAGAAGGGTGACATATTTAACTGCTTAGCGGGATTGTTGGATTAGTTCAATATCTTAATATTCTTTATATTCAATATCAGATGGCTCGGTCTAGTTCGCGGTGTGAAGTGAGGAGTGAATAGATGCCCCCGGCTACGCGAGCTGAGTTAAGATAGCTTAGCTTGGTTCGCGGTGTGGCCTACGCTTAAAGTTATGTAGTTACTTTGCGCTTGGGTTGGTGCCCTTTGGGATTGTTGGAAGGGCCTCTGCCGCGGTCATTGCCGCCATCGACGTGGCGTCGATTCTCAACCCTGGCAAATATCATTCCATACCTGAATAACAATAATAATCGTGCATATTATCATGATATGAGTTCTGGTACAATAACGGCGAATAACCCACTCACAATATCCTATTCCTCTCATTATGATTCACCTTAGCCCACTTTTTGGTATCTATCGCGGCGCCTTCCACTTTTAAAGTAACCGCACATTCGCACCAAAGGCGTGCTGATCGTATGCGCGATCAACGCCGAGCGAAGTCTCCCTCAAGCCGAATCTCTGTGCGATTCGAACTCCAGCAAAGACGGAGCTGGCTTCTTTCTGGCCGGTCGCTCGCCGTCCTATCGCGTCCATAGTGGCTAAAATAAGAGCATCATATTATTAACTCTCCATTGCTAACATTTCGAAATTATTATTAGTTACCGTACCTATTTGATTGCGTTAAAGATACTATTATATTAAATAGAATATTAAAACAGGATAAACAATGCGTAGGTACTTGCTTCTCCGTGTTTTATCTTTAAGAACAACACACCAAATTCAATTACTTTCGTTCAAATCACAAATTATATGTTTATTTACACTAAAATTTTATGATATTTCTTTTACACACTTTTTGAAATCGCTCGTTTAAACACTTGGATTCGTAGATATTGACATTTCAATGAGTGTTTAATTCTCGATTACGGAAAATTCGGTTTTTTTTTTGTTGAATGGTGAAATCTTCCGAAAATAGCGCGATTGGGGTCCCGATCGCGCAATCGGATGCGGCAAAAAACATTATACATATATAATGTTTTTGTTCTAGTACACAATACACATTGAAGGTTATCAATTTCCAGTACCAACCCATCACGCGATCAGAGTAGACATACCGTAAGTGAGACGCAATTGTTACGAGCAAGTACTAATTACCCACAATGCAGTTGCTGCTGCACGTCCCATATCACGCATTGTCAGATGACAGTGCTGGGCTGAGAACCTGAATACTAAAATTGTTTCTCCACTAATAGCAATAAATAAACCAAATGATAATTCACCTACGCCGTATTTTGTTACGCACATACTAGGGCAAATGTACACTTGCTATTGTCAAAGGCTTAAAAAACATGTATTCTTACCCTAGATATGCTTAGCGCTATTCATTTAAAAGTCATGAAATTTACGTTGCTTAAACACAGCTTTATGTTTAGCTAAGTTAAAAATTCAAATGGAAAAGAAAACATCGACGGCCCTTTTAGCTTTTGTGTAACGGCGACGGCCGGGGGACGGTAATCTGCAAGTGTTTACATGCCTAATGACGAGCTCGTTCAGCCCGTAAAAAACAACGTAATGACGTCATATATGATCCCCGTTCACCCCGCCCTCTTCTCGCACCACGTTCCTCCTCGTGAACAGAAATGGGAATACATTCCAATGAAATGATTCCCACCAGCTTCTCAATATTTTTATTTGCAAAAATTACGATACAAATTTTGCGTCACCGACCTGATACGATTAAATTAGGTTTTATTTGGATCATGACAATATTGGGCTCTTTGCGGCAACTTACTCGGAATTTAATAAAACAGCACAGAGAACCAACTTTTTTCGTTACGACGTTATTTCAATCGACTCACTTCAAAGAAATGTTGAGAGCGTCATCAAAGGCCAATAAAACTGGCTCCGTCAAGTTAGTTACGTACTGGAGACGTTTCTTATCAATTTATTTTCACTTAAGTTCGCTTTTATAGAGAGATTTAAAACAATCAAATTGAATAATGCCTCAATTATGTATGGTTGTGACGTTGTGAATCATGTCAATAATCGAGAAGAATAAATTTACATTTTATCAAACCGGATAGAATTAATGTCCGAGTTCAACAATTTAACAAGGTGATCAAGATGGTCTCAACGCGAACCAATTAACACAGACCTTTGTTACAGCTGTAATAATCCACCTGGAGCTCAATCGGCGGAACTTCAGGGGGCGGAGAGGTCAGATTACATTGGACCCTTGTGTAAATTGCAACAGAAGTAATCTACGAGAGACAGTCGGCGAAATGCAATTAGGAAGCGAGAAGTGACGCCTTTATACCGACTCAAAGAAAGCGTACACTGCGGGCGCGCGAAAGTGCACACACTACACAGTTACATTAATTAACAACCTCCGCGAATTCAAAAGCGGGAATTTGCAGCGTGTGCTCTGCGCGCAGAGCGGCGCTGCGGGGCAAAGGGTCGAAACAGACAAATTCCGTAAATCAGCAAGAATTCACGTCGTGGTAGGTGCGAACACAAACGTGTACATGCATTATCCGTAAAAGTAGTGGGGAACGGCAGACGCGCGATAGCTTAAAATGTTTGTTTTAAAATTCTTTCAGATTGCTGCTGATAAATGTAGAATTTCACTCTTTCAATTTCATCAGTTTCCTAACTTACGCTTTGGACAATATGCAGCTCAACGATTCAATGAAATAATTTTATTGAAGGAAAAAAGATGAGTAAATGAACAATGCAATGTGGCAAATTGCAACAGTCGGCAAGTGTAGAGTGAGCGTCGCGGCATCAGGAGCTCCGCTGTTCAATTACTGCACTATTTTTATTATTTCCATTCGAGTTTTATGTTCTATTTTCCTTTAAGGAACTAGAATAGAATAACATACACATTACAGCAGTAGTCTTTAGTACAAAACTGAATGGATAACGACACTAAATTTAGGAGATTCTCGCACAGCACCCCGGTGTTAAAATGTACTATGGGTTTCTGGAACTTCAAATATTTATTATTTCTTATTATATCTTCCTATTATTTCTTAAAATATTTATTATTTTCTTTAATATTTTTATTTCATAGGCAAGGTAGCTGGACTTACAATTGTCACGATTTTTAACTCTATCACTCATGCGAAATTATACATTAATAAATTAACTAACAATTCACGAGTGAACAAGGATGTTTCAGGCAACTTCACCGCCACTTCCTGAGTCACGTCTCACTGTCGTAACACATCGTAGAGCGGGAGCACAAGCTTGATGTTTAAGTGGCTTCGTTTAAGGCGTTCATCTGCATGTTGTTGTGGATATTGTAATCAAATTTTATTGCTGATACAAGTTTATACGTTTCTGTATGATTTCTTGATATGAATTTATTAAAGTTATATTTCTAACCCGACTACCGAGAGAAAGTCATGTTTCCTTTCTTTTGGGGTGATGACAAATGATGTTTCATCCAGGAAATAGACAGCAGCCACAGTTCTACAACGTTCTGTAGCTATAACAGCAAATGTTGACTTTCCCGGCACACCTATGTCGATCAGTGAACTGTTGATGTGATGTGTTCGTGTACATTTCGTTTTTGTAGCGAAGAGATGCACCCGCACACCGCTCAGGGTCAGGGTCAGGGTCAAGGTCAAGGCGCTTTCTTCTTGATTGTAGCGATACCAATGCCTTAATTATCACGAACCCAACAAGATTAACAATTTTGTTACTGAAAACTACTTGCTATGAAGACATGTCAGAAATATTGTAGAAAGCAACTAGGAAATAACGATTACAATTTAACTGAACTTAGATTAAAAAACTACTTGTAAATCGTGGCGATCACCTGTTTAAGGCTGAATTTAATTTCCACATTTTTGTTTTCGGAAGCAATCACGAACAATAATTGAATGTGAGTAACCTAACTGTAAGTACTTAAATTAAATGGTTAACAATGTTATTAAGCCATGTATTGTTAATTATTTTATATTCTACGTTATCATTATACCTAAGTATAATATCGAATTATTTGTTTTCATTCCCTTTATTTAATTAGCAAAAATAATTAAAGTAATAAAGACACAATTGATAAGCGAACGATATATAATGCAGCCACTCATTGTTATTCAATTGCGGTTGCGGTGCAAAACATGGATTGGACGGACCTGTCCTGTTTAATAACGCTTCGGTTTTACAGGACGCGTCTGTTGAATTGGCTTTCAACATTTGGAAATGGTAAGTTCAATGTAAGTGAGACATTCCACCCAATGTATTCCAGTAATGTAATGCTCTGTACGTGTCCACATATACGTACCTACTCATTACCTGCCGGTTATGAGTGTCCACGTCTTCATATTCTTTGACGAGGCGAACCTTTACCGACATGCAATTTCCCTGAGGATTTTTTGACGTGTAGTGTAAATAGTAAGCAGACCATGATACTGGTGTACCAGTATTGATGTTGATTGATGTACCACAACGATTCCTTTTGTACTATTATTTTGTGGCAAATTTCAATTTGTAAATATTTTTGTCAACAGGAAGTAATCTTCACATTATTTAAAGCCAAAAAAGAGCGAGGATATTGAGTCACTATATCATAACGTTGTGTTCATTGCTTGTGACGCTGTAAATGTCGTCCTGTAAACACAAAGGCAGTGTCGCTATTAACAAAGTTCCCCAAAACGTCGTGGTCGGAACCAGCAAAATGTAATGCTGTCGACTCAACAACGTGAACCTATGTAAGAAACTTCGCGCATTGACACTTCATATACTTTACTATTTTCACAAAGTTCGTCTACCCTGAACTTGATACGATTAGTTGTAGCTATGTATGGTTGCCATCTGCAACAAAAATAAAGATGCACTAAATTCACCAAACAACGTCTGTCGTGAATTAACCAAAGATATAGAAAAAAAGGGGAGACTTGGTATGGGACATGGTTCGTATCGCCTCTATATTATCAAAATTATCATATCGAGGTGGTACGCCTACAAACATCGCCACAGTGACATGGCGATCGTTGTACATACAAGATCTCTCGTAAAACATGAAAATCCCAAGTTGTAGCGATACACCTTGTAAAAATTAGAATCAAAACAAAAATTTTGAAACCAGTGAGATAACATTCCACCGGCTTTTTGTATTTTTAGTTGCTGTTTCTATTATTATTCAATGTTTTCTTTTTGTCTCCATGGAAATTTCTAGACTCAAATATAGTGATGTTCATTTACGACGACTGACGTTTATCGGTAATAAATTTTTACTGAAATGTTTGAATTTCTTATTATGATTTTTGTAATTAAAGTCCCTAAAACATTTCAACGTACGTTCACGTTAAATTGGTTTCCTTTGTTTTATTATTATTATTACTAAACATTTTATTTCGAGTAACCTTAACACAACTCATATTTCGGACAACCGTTTCAATTTCATGGCAATTTGGATGTTGCTGCTTGCAGTTTACGCTTGACAATGACAGCTTCACCAACTTCGGCACTCTCCCCTTCGCCGTTATCAGGGAGGCGCTGAGGTTCCATAAGGTCCCCAGGTACCTCAGCCGTCTGGTAGAGCACTACCTGGAGGACAGGGTGGTGCTCTACCAGACGAGGGAAGGGAGGCGCGCCGAGCGCCCAATGAGGTGTGGAGTACCCCAGGGGTCCGTATTAGGACCACTACTGTGGAACCTGGGGTACGATTGGGTGCTGAGGGGCGCGCTGCTCCCCCGGACGGCGGTCATCGCGTACGCCGATGACACGCTGGTGGCCGTCCGGGGGACCTCCTTCCAGGATGCGGCCCGAAGAGCCTCAGTAGCGGCGGACATGGTGGTCCGCCGAATACAACTGCTGGGGCTCGAGGTCGCCGTGCCGAAGACGGATGTGGCCGTCTTCGGCGGGAGGGGTAGAGGTTGGGCGGTGCCGGCAGGCGCCCACATCTCCATCGCGGGAGTATCGGTCCCGGTCAAGTCCCAGATGAAATATCTGGGACTTGTCCTGGACCGGCGATGGAACTTCGGGGAGCATTTCCGGCAACTTGCTCCCCGAATAGTGGGCGCCGCATCGGCGATGGGCCGTCTCCTGCCCAACCTCGGGAGGCCGGGAGCCTCGTGCAGGAGGCTATACGCCGGGGTTCGCCCTGCGAATGTGCAGGGCGTACATGACGGTGGCCTGCGCTGCCGCATGCGTCCTCGCCGGTACTCCGCCGTGGGACCTCGAAGCCGAGGTCCTGGCGGAGGTCCACGCCTACCGGCGGGGAATGAGGGACCGAGGCGAGCGCCCTGCTCCCCAAGAGGTCGAGCGGGAGCGCCGCCTCGCGGCGCAGCGCATGCGGGACCGATGGAAAGAGGGCTTGGCGGATCCCCCCTATGGCGCTCGTACCATAGGGGCGATCCGCCCTGTCCTCGTAGAGTGGGTAAACCGGTCCCACGGGCCACTGTCGTACCACCTTGTGCAGGTGCTGACTGGACACGGGTGTTTCGGTCACTACCTGCACAAGGTGGCGAGGAGGGAACCGTCCCCGTCGTGCCACGAGTGCGGCGCTGCGGATGACACCGCGCAGCACACCCTAGAGGTGTGCAGCCGGTGGGATGAGCAGCGCCGCACTCTGACGGGGACTGTAGGGCAGGACCTCTCGCTGCCGAGCGTGGTTGCCGCCATGCTCGATAGCGAGGAGTCCTGGGAGGCGGTGGCTTCCTTTTGCGCAGAGGTTATGTCGCAAAAGGAGGCCGCGGAGCGGGTGCGCGAGGACGCGGCGGACGCGCACCCGCTTCGGCGCAGACGTACGGGGAGAAGGCGAAGGCAGTTCGCTGCTCGCCTGATCCCCTAGTGAGGCCAGCGGGCTCTGGACAGGGACTCCGGAGCCTGCATTGCACGGCCTCACTCGTCTGGGGGGCGGGTCGGAGGACAACCGACTCGCCCCTCCGTTGGCGCGGGAGCCCTGGCGCAAGCTAGGGCGGCCGGGCGGCGTCGTGGTGAATGTTCACCGATCCCACGGCGCCGACTCAACCGGCGAGAGGGAAACCCGGGGGGGTTTTAGTGGGGTAGGCCCTCCAGTCTGGAGGGAGAGTCCCCACATAACCCCTGAGTCTCCCTGGGCTCAGGGGTATCCATAAAGATTTCCCCCCCGTCAAAAAAAAAAAAAAAAAAAGGGTCCGCGAAGTTAGTGGGCGTTAATCGCAAGTCGCGCGATTAATAGAGAACTCATCCCGCGTGCTCCTGCACCACATTGCGTCTGAACCGATCGCCAAATTGCGCGGGCGACGACGGCCGCCAAGCGCGCGGGTGATCGCGTCCTGCGCGGTTCTGTTAGTACTCCGCCGCGGCAACCGCGAGTAACCGTCACCACTACAGGCGTTAAACGCGCCGTGAAATGTGCTACTAATTTTACATACTTAAGAGGGAGCAGAGGAAAAATTCCTAATCTTTAGATTTGATTTTAGAGGGGTATATCCACTTTAAAGTTAAAAATAAAATATTGTATGAGTAACTACACGATATATTCAAGCATAGACATTAATCAGAAACATAAAACAATAAAGTTTCCTCGATAGATAAAAATCACGAAGTGACTTTCAATTTTTACATTTTTTCGATTTATCCTCGAAATGCTACAGGTTATTAGGACAAAAATTAGATAATTAATTATATTTATGCATGATCGACAACTGTCACTGCGGATTTTTTTTAATCCCTTTAGTTTTAGAGTTGTTCCGCTACGACGAACGAATTTGGTACTTTTCATGCGCAAAATTCAACGTCTCCTGTCGCATGTCACGCGAACTTCAGGCATATATTTGTTTCACAAATTTGGGCGGAGCCAACGTCAAAACTCTTTTGGCATGAGAGCTCTTAACTATCACATTCTACAGATGCCGCGGTCCCGCGACCACTCCGTGAGTTCTTTGTGTAACGAGAAATAAGTTTCAGCGCCATGTAACGTGTAATAGTTAGCTATTATATACTAGTAGCATTTTTACTAAAACGCCACCTGATGGTGACTGGCTGAACCAGGATGAGAAAATACTGAAATATTGTAATATAACTCTTACTCAAGTGACTGTAAGTTTTATTTTGTTAAATTTTAAAATTGTGTTACGTCGTTTTCACGTTTTAAGCCCTACCCAATCAAAATCTTTAAGTTATGGTAGCAGATAATAGAGCGTAAAGTTTGAATTGCGCACAAGCTAAAAAGTGGCGACATCGGCACCCGATCTTACATAGCGTCATTACATATCTCCCCTTTTTTTATATCTCTGGAATTAACTAGTCCATAATGACTATTCCCGGAGAATATGTTTCCGTTGGTACTGACGAAGGAATCATTAAGCCTCTTCATGAATTAATTTGGTAAAGCGAATAAAGTGATGAAAAGCGCATGAAGTCGTTCCGGCCACTGCCGTCAGTCCATCGCCTTGTCTAAGCAGATCATCGCGTTCGACGTGTTTGACTACAGCTTCGAGAGTCTCGTGATTGAGTTGTATTACAACAAGTCGGGTCTCGAAGCACCATGTGACCAAATCTTTCGCTCGCAAACGTTCGCTCGCCCCGCACCTGAAAGTCAATAGCAATGATTTTCAATATAAAGTTACAGACATCAATAGTATGACCGAAATAAATTTTATTTTATTATTTACAAACATGTTCCATGCGTTTGCGTTACTGAGAATTAAACTACTAAATTAATGATTTTTTTAGTATTTATTATTTCAGCGCGCTGTTAAATTTTAATAATTATTTGTACCGAGTTTGTTTTCGCCGAATATGTTATGTCTGTAACAAATGCTGGTGCTTCAAATGCGTGTTGAAGAAATTAATTTTATTTATAAAAAAGCAAAATAATATATCCCCTGTATTCTATATCTAAATATAGGACGCTAGTATTCATAAATAGTTTTTTGTTTTATTATACGGAATAACAACAGCCACCTTAAAAACATCTCACAAAGAACAATATTTATCTTAAATCACTTAGGCCAAAATACTTATCCACAATAACATAAATTATTGAAGCCTTATAAACAGCTGTAAAGCAATTCAGCCACACACTACTTAAATTCTTAATAAAGTTTTTCTTAAAATTTTATTAATTTTCTGTATAAAATTTAACAAAATTTTGTTTTGCAATCCATCACGGTTGTGTGCATCTTTGCCTTTTACAACATTCTAATTCGAGTTGTTAATATCTATGGAAGAATATCTAGTTGGCCACTTGTTGATAAAAAACAAAGAAAAACCCGAATAATAGACCCGCATTAGTAATTCATATTTGCCGTCTTTAATACACAATGTACTATTAAGAAACCTTTTCTTAACCAGCAATGAAAGGGTGTTTATTATATTCACGCAATAAATAATGTGTTCGAGTTGATGATGTCCTTGTCTTTGCGATTCCAGTAGTGGCCGTGGTCGTCGTCCCAATACCTGCATGTTTCATCGCCAGATGTCTCCTCTTTAAATGTCTACCTTTCCTGTCTACTCCCATATTGCTCGGCATAGGCTCCACGCAGTGTAGAGGATAATTGGCGCTACCGTCTCAAGAGCAAATCCGGCTGAAGCTTTCGTCTGTCTGCCTGTCTACTTTTTACATCGGCATACCTGCATGCTGCATAGCTGCTTGCCGACAAAAGTTCGTCTGTGGAACAGGTCGCCCATTTCTAGATGCCGGTGTGCATTTGGATGATAGCGACTTGATTGGCTGATTAGTATGATAATTGAAAAAACTAGTACGATATTGTTAAACTGT